CCAACCTCAGACCCCCGACATCAGACCAGAATGAAGCTCTGCCTCTGCTCAAGTCCAGGAACAAGGTTCGGTCCCAGTTACGAATTCTGGTTCTGGATCAAATCAGCAACAACGCCTGGAACTGTTCTGTTCCACTTTGATCAAAAATGACGCACACACACACACACACCATCACACACACACTTTCCTGATCCCAGAAATCCACCATCGATCCACATGAACCACTTTGATGTGGTGTTTGATAACCCGCGCACGGCCGCTCACGTGCACACGCATAACATACGGTGATTGTGTGATGGTGTAATTGAATATAACTACAACACACACACACACACACAGCAGCAGCAGCAGTTGCTGACACTTCTGCACCGCCTCCCTGCCCTGGACCAGCACCACTCCAGGATCTCCAGAACCTCCATGAGGTTCTGGAGGTCGGGCTGTGACCATCGTGATCAGAACCACCAACATCATCCTTCCTGCCCCCGAACCTGTGCTCAACAGCTGCCCTCCTGCTCCAGCCCGGTCCAGCTGAGCCACAGAACGACAGGAGAACGAACCCAGTCCCAGTCGGACTGCTGGCTCCAGATCCTCTGTCATGTTTTTTTTTTTTTTTTTCGTTTCAACTTCACCTGACACCAGGACCGGAACTGCCGTGTCCTGAGTGGAGTTACACGGACAATGACGTGGGTTTTTTTTTTTTGTTTTTTTTTTTACCAGAACCAGAACCTTTAGCTCCATCTGCGGACCTGAACCCTCTCAACGTGGCAGCATACATGCGTGCACGCGTGCGCCTCCAGTGCGCACAGCAACAGAACGTAACCCACAAGTGCAGACGGAATACACCACGCACGCGCGCACACTCACACACACTCACACACACACAGACAAGTTGGCACACAGACCACAGCGGCGTTTGTTTGACTCGTCTTACCGTGATTTAAGTCTCGGTTCTGGGGAGGGAAGAGGGTGAGGAGAGGAGGAGAAAAAGAGGCGGCGGTGGCCGAGCTGAGGTGCCGGCTTTACTGTCCGTTCTGCAGCGAAGGAGGTGAGAATATTATCCCTGGACGGCTGCGGAGGTCCGTGCGTTTCAGCAGAGAGAGGAACAGGGAGCGAGAGAGAGGGAGAGAGAGGGGAGGTAGGGAGGGAGGGAGGGATGGGAGTGTGGTCGGACAGATGAGGGGTGATGTTGAATCAGGGAACAGCCGCTCCCACTGTCTGTGGATCCGCACAGAAGCTTTGGGGGAAAAAACGACTGTTTTTTTGTGTCACTGCCTTTTTTTTTTTTCTTCTTCTTTTTCACGTCATAAATGTCAGCTTTTATAAAACACTTCTGTTCAAGGAGTATTCTCCACGGGGCTTAGACCGCACATCCGGGTTTGTCATCGTCACGGTGCTTTTTTTATCTCCTCACTAATTATCCCAACAGGTTAGTGAGGTGTAACT